GGTTTTAAAATGAAGATGAACTCAATCACATGGATGCAACAAATCCTGATTTTTTCTCCAAAGATTGAAAATTTTCTGAATGAAAACCCACCAAATCCAACCAAATCTTTGTGTCAATTATAATCAGTTTTAATCGCTCTTTCTAATACTGCTATTTATTCACAAAATCCCTATCAAATCTTGCGTAGGATTTGGTCGAATTTGTTAAATGCATCGCCATTTTCACCAAATTCTGTCAAACCGATTTGATGCGTTCTATTAGTTTCCAGGAAAGTCCTTTTTTAGACTTTACTGGGAGCGGGGCATAATGGGCATAATGGGCATAATGGATGTAATAGACATAGTGGGCACTTTTCGATTTCCAGGAAATCGATTTCAATTTCCAAGAGCTTCAATAAAGCTTTTGATAAACGATACATGGGTGACATTCCACACAATACATGTAGGAGTACTGTTATATTCCAGAGCAAACTTCAGTTAAAATGATAGGAGACAGTCTTGTTAGCTACGCATAAAAAAGACTTTCTTTGTGTGCGTATATGTATATGTCGTATCGAAGTTACAACTTCGACAGAGAAGTGTGTCTGTATAGATGTGCGTGTATGGGTGTGGGTGTATAGATGTGTGTGAGTCGACTGTGGCGAAACCCCTTTCGTCGCACCCGCACCAGCTGCGATGATGTGTGTGAGTCGTCAGTGATGGAACTTCTTTCGTGGCATCCGCACCAGCTGAGATGATGTGTGTGTGTATGAATGGTTGTGTATCGAGGTATGTGTATATGGATATATGCGTGGACTGTGATGGAATTGCTTTCGCCGTAGCCACACTGCGTCAGTCCTTCGCAGCACGTCTGCATTGTGTATTGTAGGGTGTGTGTGTTTATGTAGTTATGAGACATTTACTTAGGCAACGCTTTGGGGAGTACCGTGATGGTTTTGCACATAGGTTTTGCTTGTAGTGGAAGAATATGCTATTTGCAACAGCTTGGATGAATAACGTCTTGTGACTGTCTTCGAGCATTCGCTTCCGTTAATCTCAAAGAATATTTTATCCTAAATATATTGTTTTTAAAATCTAGTGGTTTTTGTGTTTGTAATGTTTGTTTATGTGTCTCCGAGTTGGGTTGCTACTTTTGGAGAGAGTTTGAAGTATTTTATTTCAAAATTGTTATGTGCTGTGTCAATGTGAACTTGATCGAGATATTTTCAATTACTTTTTTCTTGTTGGAAAGTTGATTGCGTTTGCAGAAAGTAATTTTACATTTTCCTAGATTTATTTATTGGTTTCCAGAAAGGCATTATCTTGTGGATTTTGTTTTGATTTTTAATAGTCGAATTGGTTTCGGGAAAGTCAAATAGGATTCCCGGAAATTCAACTTGGGTTTTCGGAAAGTTCGTTGTCCGGAAAGCCAAATAGAATTTCCGGAAAGTGAATTTGGGTTTTCGGGAAATTTTGTTGTCCGGAAAGTCGATGGACTTTCCGAAAAACTCTAATAATGCATCATATGGTCAAATTTTACGCAAAATTTGGTAGGGATTTGGTAAATAAATACCAGTATCAGAAAGAGCGATTAAAACCGATTATAATTGACACAAAGATTTGGTTGGATTTGGTGAGTTTTCATTCAGAAAAATTTCAATCTTTGTACAAAAAAATAAGGATTTGTTGCATCCCTACTCAATCACTAAGACACATATTTTGGGTGTGGGTGTGGGTGCGGCTTTTCATTTCAACTACACTCACACTCGATTCACTGTTTCTGCTTCATGATGATCTAAATTCAAGTTTCACTAAAGTATCTAATGTAAAAACTTTTGTAGTACTTCATGTGATAGAGAAAAATAAGTATATATGTGAATGTTATATCGACATGGATCAGGCCGAATAAGAAATTCATCAATTGCTGTCCAATCAGCACCTATTCTAACCATAACTGTGGAATGAAGTATACGAACAAGACGAAGACTTTTTGATTCACCAAACTAAATATTATTTATTTCTTAACGAAAAAAATAAAAAAAAAATTTATTTACTCGGGGTGTGGGTGTGGGTGTGGGTGTGGGTGTGGGTGTG